CCTCGGGCCCAGCCGGGACCCCCCAAACCCTGCGCTCATTTGGGGGGGTCGCCTGTCCCCCCTTCCCTGCATTTCTTCCCACACTAACCAGCTGTTCCCAGTGTTCCCAGTAAAGCTTCTCAGTGCTCTGCACTCCTGGTTGTTGGGGAGAAGTGGGGGCTGCAAAAATCCAGGGAATATGGGGTTTTGGGCACTCCCAGACCAACAGAATCTTGGGAAGAGGTGCTTTGGGCACTCCCAGTCCCAAAACATCCCAGGATCAGGTGGGTTGGGGCACTCCCAGACCCCAAAGTATTGGAAAATAGGGGCTTTGAGACTCAGACTCCAAAAATCCAGGGGAAAGGGGGGTCTGCACAAATGTCATCCTCTCAAAACCCCATGAACAGGGGGGTTTGGGTTTTCCCAGCTGCTCCAAAAAATCCTGGAAAAGAGAGGTTTAGGTACTTCCATACCATGGAAACTGCAAGAACGGGGGGCTTTGGGGACTCCCAGAACTAGAAAATCATGATGAAAGGTGGTTTGGGCACATCCAGAGCCCTAACCACCATAACCAGAGGGCACATCCAGAGCCCTCTGTGCTTCTGAGAGCACAGAGGTTTAGGCAGATCCCCAAAAACCCAATGGGGTTTGGGGACTCCCAGACTCTCAAATCTTAGAAAAGAGGGGTTTGGGCACTATCAGTGTCTGAAAAACACAGGAACGGGGGCATTGTAACATTCAGATCTCAAAATTCTTTGAAACATGGGGGTATGGGCTCTCTTAGACCCTAAAAACCCCAGGGACAAGGGGGTTGGGGCACTCCCAGAGCTCTAAATACTGGAAAAGAGGAGTCTGGACACTCCTAGATCCTAAAACTCCTGGGAACAGGGGGGTTTGGGCACTCCCAGACCCATAAAATCCTGGAGAAAGGTGGTTTGGACACACCCAGACTCTGAAAATCCTCGGAACAGGGGGGTTTGGGCAATGTTAGCCTATCAATAAACCAGGAACAGGGGCGTTGGGGATGTCCCAGAACCACAAAATCCTGGAAAAGAGGGTGTTGTTTACTCCCAGACCCCTAAATTTGTGCGAACGGGGGGAGTTGGGCACTCCCAGTTCCTCAAATCTTATAAAAGAGAAGTTTGGGCAACATCAGCATCTAAAAAACACAGGAACAGGGGGTTGGGAACATTCAGACCCCAAAAATCTTGAGAACACGGGATTATTGGCTCTTCTAGACCTAAAAAATTCGAGGCACACGGGGGTTCGATCAACCCCAGACCCCAAATTATCGGAAAAGAGGGGTTTGGACACGCCCCCAACGGCCCTCAGCCAATCCCTAAGCGCCCACACCGCCCGCGCCCAATCCCAGCGCGCCGCGCTGATGACTCATCAGTCGCCGGGAAGACGCCTCGAAAAAAGGGCCCCAACTGCGCCCTCAGCCAAG